CATTGTTCTATTCCCATTATTCTCTTTTTCTCAGCTTCATCTATTTAAAAAATAATCACTCCATAATCTCTGCTGGTTTCATGCTGTACATTCAGAATGTCTTACATGGTTCTGGCCCTCCAGGGTCATCCCTGTTATAATTATAATCCCTCTTCATTCTCCTTTGGATATAATTTTCTGTGAGCAAACTTACTGTTCTTTCATATAAAAATGTCTTAAGAATACTTTTTTTGTATTAAAAAAAGCATTTATTTGATGTACTAGTTTTAGAGTTACTAAAGCAACTCCCCAAATATTCAAATTTCAGGAAGAAAAAAATTATGTACTTTTTTTAAAAAATGAAAGAAAGTATATTACAGTAGGTTTCTACAGTTTCCAGGATTGAGATATTTCTTCAAATTCTTTGCCTTTACTAAGAATTAAAGTTGTTTGTCCAGCCTTATTTGTATATCATGTCCTTCCAGAGGTTGTAAGATATAGTTTTTTTTCTTTTAGATCCCAAAGATAAACATTTACTCTGTGTTTCACTCTAGTTCCTTATTTGACAAGAGTCACAAGGGCTCCATTGTTCAAATTTGCATGCTTTATGAAAATATATATTTGTGTAAATTATACTTACAAAGCTTAGTATTTCCACTATGCATAGTTAGCAAGTCTACTAATGATAGGTTAGTAAAAGTTACAGTAAAGAGGTAGGACTAACCCTGAGGATGATATGAGACATAGGAAAACATAACAATATACACCATCTTCCCAAACTCCATTCCATAATTTTTATGTAAGTGAAAAATGGTTAAAAAGAAAATTAAGAGTAGTTTTATTTGGGATGAATCTTACTAGAAAGGGAATGCATTCATTCATTCTTCCAATATTTATTGAGTACCTACTATGCTAGACTCAAAGCTGTGTCCACATAAGCAGTTGAAATATGCATGAGAAAAGTGGGAAATTCCTTTTGGTCAAGGAGAGATAAGAAATACAGGCTAATCCAGAGTTSTAGACTCCTTTAGGCCTCACCACCAGCTGGTGGGTGTACCTATTCTTCTCAAATTACCCTTTTCCTCTGAGTCACAACCTAGCCATCTACTTTCCTGAGTCACTGGAGACCATCCATGAATGGGTGGGATGCAGGTGTATCTGTCACCATTCACCACTGCCCTGGGGACAGATCTGTTTAAAGATTAAGTCAACATTTTCTTTTTTAAGTAATGATCTGCAGAAAAGTCATCCCAAACTCTCTGATAAAGGAGGGAAAAAAAAGGCAGGAAATGTGGCAAAAGTCTGTTCTGCTTTGTTCTCTTTTGGACACAGTAAAAAGGAATGGACTTATATGTAGAATAAGGACTGTATTTTGATTAGGTGATTTGAAACCCAACATACCTCAGCTTTGCACTTGCATACTTCTAAATAGAGGCATCCCTCACTTAAAAAAGCTAATAATGTGCTGTCCCTCCATGGCTGACAAGGAATTGCTGAAGTCCCAAATTCCTTGATATTTCATTGCACTTGCTTTTTATCTAAAAATATATAGCATTCTTTCACACAAAATAAAACACAGAGCAGAGGAGGCAAGACATATCTTGAAAGATCTCTCCACTAGATACTTGGACATGCTAGGGGGAAAAGGAACAATATCACCCTTTAAATGCATAGTCAAACTTGCAAAAAAAAAAAAAAAAGTAAGAGAAACCTAAAAAAGAGAGAGAGAGAGAGAGAGAGAGAGAGAAACACCAAAGGGAATCCTAAACCAGAATAACAACCTAGCATTTACTGCAGCTGAGATCAACATTTACAATTCTTAGTTATCTAGAGTTCTTGTTTGCATGTCAGAAAACATGATGTCAGGTTGTCATAAACTGAGCCAGAGACCCTTAAACTTCCCCAGCTTCAGTGAAAGAGTAGACAGGAAAAAACTAGTTATCTGTACCAACTGTTGACAAAGAAATATCTTTCAGCACAATACCAGACCTGGGCTTTCCTGGGTTTCTAATTTAAATTTACCTTACCTGTGTGATCCAGGAAGCCAAGGCAAGAAAATAACATATCAGTCCAGCGTGGTACCTGGTAGCACCCAGGCCACCTGAAAAAAATCAATGCTAATCTTCTTCAAAGACTTGCACCCTCAACCCAATCCTCAGAACACCCCACAGTTTAAACAATGTGAATGTTACCAAAAAAAAAAAAAAAAAAAAAAAACTTAATAGACCTACAAGTAGACCTACAAATACACATAGAATGTTATTAAAAAAAAAACTAATAAATCAGTCCAAATTAAGTGACTAAGGTTTTGGTTTTTTCCCATGAAAAGAACATCACTTTTCTAACTCTGTTACTGTTGCCTTAAATACATCAGAGGAAAAAAACTGAAACCCTAACTAGATCCCTTGAAATCTTGTTGGAAAGGATATAGAGGTCTACTAAGTGCATGGGAGAAAATGGAAACTAGGTAGGATCCTTGTTCCATGCTGGAGATCTGAAACCTCAGAGTATTACAGTACCGACTTCCTGGGAGGGCCACAAGAATGTTTTAGAGCAACTGCCAAAGGAAATGAAGGATGATAGGGAGTTAGTGAATAATCCTTATAGAATGGCAGGATTTATAATTAAAAGCAAGTCATTTGAGTAAATGCAGACAAAACTGGTTGATAGCTATAATTGCTATTTAAGCACATTTTTTGCTGTCAACAGTGTTGAGCACCCAGTAATCTAATTTACATTACCACTATTTTGGGTTCCCACAAACCAGAAGCCCATGTTACATTGTTTCAACGGGGCATCCAGCCAGAGGGGACAAGGACAGAAGATGGGTCAAGTTTTGGGTTGTAGAGCTTTAGCCACTYTTACCATGTGGGTACCCAGTCTGCAAAGACAGGCAGAGGTTGTTCTGCAAACATAACACCTGGGAAGAAGACCCAAAAGGAGGGATCTGTAAACAGAAAGTCCAGCAGACACAGACCTAGAGTTCAAGGAAAGCAGGAGCTTATTCTCATCTTCCTCCCACACTGACACATTTCAACTGGATACATTTCACCAAAATTCACCAGTGTCTAACAACTGATCTTGCTTCTAGAATATATTGAAAAATGCCATCCTATGAGCAAAGGGCAACAACCATATGATATCAAGAGAATGTGCTGTAAACATCAGGCCRATTTCACAAGTAACCAAAAACCACCTAGTAGCGACACTAGGAGGAGATATAAATGGCAGATCCTAATTTCTAATATTTCATTATTCTGTTCTTGTGAAATTCATGTGGGATTTTAAACATATAAAATATTAAATATTCTTTAATTGTGAGCAATTGAAGTTTTATTATTTTGGAATTGGCTGAAATAGAAATAGAGGGAAAGTGTTCAAGGGTAAGTGGATTGTAATTTATTAGAAAAATGGAATCTTCAAATAGAGGGTATTCCCAAGCCACACTAGCAAATACATAAGGATCCTGTTCCATTCCCTAACCCCACATCCCTGAATCAGTCCTATTCAGCTGTATACCAAGGACCACATTGCTCTGACTCCATTAACTGGACTTTATCTCTGTCTCAGGGAAACCAAAAATGCTTAGAAATTTGCTACAAGCTGGGTGCAGTGGCGCTCTCCTGTAATACCATTGACTGAGGAGGCGGAGGCAGGAGGATTACAAGTTCAAAGCCAGCCTCAGCAACTTAGTGAGATTGTATCTCAAAATTTAAAAATAAATAAATAAAAGAACTTGGGATATAACTCCGTGAAAAAGTGACCCTAGGTTTGATCAGAAGGAAGGGCCGGGGAGGCACAAGCATCTACACCTTGTACTAGAATGTCCCAGGACTACCTTCTGCCTACCCCCTGAAACTCATTGGTCCACAGTTTCTTTGTTTCTGAGCCCTTTTTGATATTCAGTATTTATTCTGTAGGAAGATGTTCATGATTAATGTCATCTGTAGGCTTTGCAACTTTTACTCCTATAGGGTATAACTTCCAGAATTTCCCTGCTAGCTCCTTGCTTCCAACCCATGAGAAGGAGGAAACACTCCTGAATCCCAAGAAACAAATCATCTTGGGGGCAGAGGAGATTTAACAACTAGATTGGAGATTTCCTGGAAAGATCCATCATCACAGCATCCATCTTTTCTGAGATGCAGACGGAACTTGGACAACCAGCAACTAGTGAAAATGGGCCCTATCAGAAAACAATACAGATCCAACTGAATTGTCCAAACCCTGCTCTTACTTCCCACAACATGGCCACAGCTACTCAACTTCTGGCTTTCTCATTTGCCTTATTCTGGTTTCTTATCTCTTAGGTTTGACAAATTCAATTTCCCTGGGTTTGAGCCTCAAAATCCTTAAATATAAATAATAATGTTCTACTTCATCAGTCTCCTAAATATTTTAAGAAACATCCCATCAAACACTTTTTGATCTTTCCTATTTTATTCTGGAACCCCCACCACACACACACACACACACACACACACGGTTGGTTTAGATAATCTCACCATATTTTACATTCATTAGAGCTCATTTGAAGCACTATGCTCAGTCTAGATTTTAACAGGGATTTTAGCTGAAGAATGATGCAAAGTGCCAAAACTGCCATAGAGGACCAGTGAGAGGACCTAGAAAGGTCTGACCAGAATTTTTTTTTTAAACAAATCCTTAGTCATTTGATTATTCTAAACAGGTTGATTTTAATATTTTAACAATTCAATAGCAAGTGTTTGCAGTGGGAGTTTTCTTATTTGTCCTCAGCTCTCTGTCTTTTCTAAAAGGGCATTTTACTTTAGGTCATACATTTTCTAAAACTAGAAACATGAATTCTTTGGGAAGACAAAGTTTTTGACTATTACGTTGAAGATCTCATGGGGAAGCTACAGCTTCCAGTCATCTGACAACTTCCTATGCTCCGATAATATTAGATAAAACCTCTTCATCAGCAATGCATCACAGGCCCACAGCACTATTTTTCATATTCAAYAAAACTTCTCTTTGCATAGATATGTGTCTGTAAAAACAGAACATTCATACCGAGGCCAGAGTGCCATAGAAGGTAATTATAGAGCCAGGAAGGTCATTTTATGCCAGGAAAAATAAAATGCTGGGTGTCTCATGAAATTTCAGAACCCAGTTTCAAAAGGATCATAACCAAGAGGAAATAAAATTCAGCATGGTGGACCGCTCCACAGGATATATTTGTAAGTATGAAATTCTGTAAAATAGCTGATGAGTGCAACTATGTTGGCTTGTTAGAAATGACTCGAGGAGGCTGATGGTTGACTGCCACGAGTATGAGCAGGGGTATTTTTTTCCCAGGGAGAAAATAAACCGGTAACCCCAATTTAGACTTTCTATTCTTAAAACTTACAGTCACACATATAAAAAGGAATCTTAACTGAGCAATAGAGGAATATTACTGTTTGGGAGCACATTCCTTCATTTTATGTGGGTTTGTATGTATATGTGTGTATGTTTAGTTTAAATAAAGATATAAAATCAGACAATTCAGAATTGCTGATTTTAAAAATTGCACATTGAAGTATGAGTTCCATCAATTTATTTGCTGTACTGATTCCAGGTGTGGATTCCAATAAGGTCTTGCTGAAGTATGGTTAACCTCGATTTTATTGAATTTCTTCATTGCTCCATGTTATGCCCATGTACAAAGTTTTTTTTTTTTTTTTTTTTTTAAAGGTGGGAATTTTGTGTGCTATGACCAACAAAATCTTGCTAAAAAGTAAATTTCTCCAGATTTTTCTCCATCTTGTGGAACATGTTACATCATAAAATAAAGGAACATAGTCAATATTTCTTTGCAGATGTATGGTATGAACAGAAAGAATTTACTGATTGCCTATCGGATTGTATTGAAATATTTAAGTATGTGAAAAGGCTTAAGATTCATAAAATTCATTTATGAATGAAATTCATATTTTATTTGATTTTTAGATTTAATTTAAACACTGAAAGAAATGTGAATCTGTTTTTGTATTTATCACCAATCCATTTACAACCACTTTAAGATTCTATTAATAAAATGTTATTTCTTTTAAATAATTACCAAGGGAAAACACTATCATTATGGAGATCTAAACTTGTTCTAAATGTTCTATGCGTAGATTGAGTTAAACTAGGCATGCATGTTTACAAAGTATTAAAAAATAAGAGCAAATTAAAACATCTTAAGATAAACATAAGACATTTAAATGAAGACAATGGAAAATAGAAATAAAATATATATTTGCATAGTTATGTATTAATCCATGAAATTAAAGTTCTTGATAAGGAGTCAACAAATCAAAAATGTAGAAGACCACAGTGCAGCATTTATAGAGTAGAAAAATTATTTACTTAAGACATAAAGCAGGGTATTTATAGAAATACTTGCCAAATGGATATTTTCTTCAGGAAGTTGGCACTAATCTTCCTTTAATTGGTTGTATTATTATTTTACTTTTAGATTAATGGAATGTTTCCATATGCCATTGCCACCAACATGAGAAAAAAGTGAACATCATTGATTTGAAGCTTGGTGAGTTTATTCATAATATAAACCAGTTCTACATTAAACCAGTATATGTCATTCTAAACTGGGAACTCTATTTGCCAGAGTAGAATTGTAGTTCTATGAGTATTTGAAATGAACTTTTATTTTTGCTTATATTTTGACTGAAGATATAATTTCACTAAAAATATTCTTATTTAAATTTGCCAAATAAAATGAAGTTCATTTTATCAATAGGCTCAATCAAATCCTTATCATGAAGTAGCTATATTTCTTTTTAAAAAATGTAAATTACCCTTTTTTGGAATTACCAAGAATATTTCTTAAAAGTTCTCAATTGCGAATGTGAGAGGGTTTGACTCTACCATTCTATATTTTGGTATAAATTATTAACTGAAATGTGTTACTTAATGATAAATATTGTTGGATGCAGGATTGTAGATATATGTTTAAATTCCTACTTATTTTGGAATTTGTCCTCAGACTGAGAATTATATGTTCTTCATTTTGTCAGATGAAATTCCAAAGACTGCCTTTTTTCTTCTCATTTTAGAGGTATGAGAATCTTTTAATTTCTACCCCATCTGCTTCCCATCTTCCAAAATTACTTTGAAATATTTTGTTTTCTTTCCCCCTCTTTTAATCTCTTTTTTTTCCTTTGTGTTTAAGTTTTACATATTCTTTTACTGTAATTTTACCAGTGTTTTGGTTAGAAGAGATAATAAATTCCAATGGTCAATCTGTCCTTTTTACTTGGAACTAGATTAAACACTTTTGAACTTACCCTTTGTCCCAATATAAATGACATTAGGAGGACGAGGGGAGTATTCTATGACATTCCAGCAGAGTAGTGGCGCCTGGTGATTATGAACCCAGAAGTAAGAACTAGAAAACAGCACAGGCATGTGACCACTCAGTTACAAAGATCTTAGGGGCAAGCAACAGGGCACCAAGCAATGGGCAGTTCCTGAGAGCAGAAATCCCATCACTGAGACAGCACCCAACAAGTCCCATTTCTCAAGCAAATGGAAATCCAGAGAACTTCACAACATACAACTCTTCTATGCATAATATATCTTGTACATAATTCCTTAAATGTTTTCACAGACATTTTTATTTTACTCTTTTCCCAATGTCACCCAACTAATGAAAGTCTTGGACCAGAGAATCTCCCTCTGAATACATCATGTAACGAGCAAAGAGCTGCTACGTCTATCCAGAGGCTTTGCTAGAATTAGAACAAAAAAAGTAGTCTTTCCACAACAGGATGGAATACAGCTTGGTGTCCCATAGTTGGCAAGAATTGTCTGCCTGGATGCCAGCTTCCTCTCCCACTTTGGACTAGACATATAAGTAGAAGAGACAACCTGCAAAATTGTACCTAAGGGGACACTCTGGATGGTCAGTTTGATCTTGTTGCTCTAGCATGCCTGAGCACTTCTGACCAAACAAACCCGACCTGGTAGTCTCAACCCTTCAATATGATACTTAAGTGAATTCCTGTAGCAGACCCACTTAATCTTAAAACTGGAACCCAGCCACTAAAACACCATATGAACAATAGAAATATGGAAGCAACAAAAGGAAGAAGATTTTCAGAATATATTCAAATGTTGAAGAACAAATAATATTAATGAGAAAAACTGGTAATATCTGAGTTGAAATTTAAAAATAGTGCAACAGAATGTGCATTTCCTGTACACACAAAAGAGAAATATTTCCTGAGTGGCAGAGTATAAGAAGCTAAACTGGAACAGTTTTTGCATATATCTCTTTTTCCAATCTTTAGAGTTCCATTTTGTACTAAAGGAAACTGAGAATCAGAGTTGAACTAACATGCCCAAGGTCACACAGCTTATGAGAGCCTGAACTCAAGTACATGTCTGTTTGAATATACTCTGTCACCTCTCAGGAATTCTGGGAATCCCCTAAACTCCATGCATCTAGAAATTACTTTCAATGTGCTTCTGACCTCACTGAGAATTGCATGGCAATTCTAAGACAGCTATGCTTTTACCAAACAATTCCAATAAGTTATTTGGAGAATGATAACTTGTAAATAGACATGCACTGGAGTTATAGAGATCACATCAAGAAAGACAAAAATGTGTACACACCTTTCTAGTAGATCAAATGAGGAGATAATAGGATACAAAATCTATTATTAAATGTAGAGAGCATATGATAAGTCCAATCCTGGTAGAAGACAGCAGTTATACTGACAGAGAAGGCATGGGAAGAAAGTAAATTCTTTACCATCCTCCTAATTTAAAAAAATAAGCAAGGGCTGTTGAGTGACTGCACCTCGTGGGTGATCAAAGAAATCTTGAACTACATGTAGTTCAGACTTCAATTGTACATAGGACCAGTGTGAACAACCAGTCAATGCAATAGCTTTCTTAGCCTCAATTTTTTCAAATTATTGTTACCAGCAAGAGTCCAATATCTTTAGTCTTGCATTTAAGGTCATTTAGAATCTAATTGCACAAACATATCCCACTGATAAACTCCCCCTTCTGCTTGTGCTTATACTATTTTGAATCTATATTTGCAATCAAAATGGCTAATCAATTAACCTATTCCCCTTCAACTTTGTGTCTTCCTTGTAGAGCTATTTTGCTCTTCCCCACTTACAATTGCGATCCATATAGAAGATATAAGACCACACCTCCCATAAATTCTTATCTCCAAACCTCCAAATGTACTTTAATTGACATCTAAACTTTCTTCAGCCCTTCCAGAGAAAGGAAGTAACTTCTTCCTATACTGCCACTTCTCCAAGGTCCCAGCCCCACATTCTGTATTCTAGCCCCTCTATCTTTCTCAGGAACTTAAAATTCTACGGATGGTCCCTCTTTCTCCTATATCTTCCACTGCTCTCCATGGCTAGCATTTGCCAACTTCAGGGTGTGCCACCCATTCACAGTGCAGGCTATACTGTAATGATACCCCCTAAAGATATGCAGACCAAAATAGGCAAATATCAGAGCCCTACATCTCTGTCCCTGATATAGYGTTCTGTCAACAACTTTCCCAAAAGACAAGAAAGAGAAAGGGAGGAAAGAAAAAGAGGTAAAAAATTGCAAATTGCAAGTACCTCTGTAAAATTATCCCTCCATGTAACCTGGGCTCCATTCCCTCCYGTTTTCCTCCATCTGTTTCCGCCCTCCCTGTTCCACTGAAAACGCTCTTCCCCACGCTCATTAATGCCTTCTTGACAACATCTTTCAATCCTTGGTTCTCAGTCTCTTCCCAGCTTTTAACTCTCAATTGGCCACAGTCCTTTCTGACAAGCACATTCTTTGGTTTTTATGAGAGCATGTCATTTTGGCTTTTGTCCTACGAGCTCCTATTTCACAGTCTCTCTCTTAAATGTTTGTGTTCTTTAGTCACTCATCTGGAGCTGCATTCTTTCCTCGGTTCACACTCTTCCTGGACATCTCATCATATTTCTGGCTTCTTACACATTTATGAAAGCTGCCTGTCTTGGCCTTGAAGTCTAATCTCTCACTTGAACTTGTTCACTTTCTTTTTCTCACTTTCCATGTCCAATGCATCAACGAGGTACTAGCAGTTTTTCCTTCAAATTCTCYAAAATCTACCCCCTTCCCTCCATGCTCCACTGCCACCTCCCACTCATCCCTCATCTGGATGCAGTTGCCTGCCAACTCTCCTCCCTGATTTCCAGGGCACTTCATGCTAGTCACAAAACTGACTGCAAATATTAACCTGTCTCCTCTGAAATTTAAAACCTTTCAATGATTTTCCAACTTCTAAATATAAAATCTAGGGCCTGCATGGCCTAATATTCTTGGCCTCAGCCTCTTCTTACAAATTCATCTCCTACCACTTTCTTGCTGCAGTAATCATTTTGAACATGATTATTGGTCCCAAAGACTTTTTCGATTCGTTTCTTTCAGGTCTCTCCCTGCCGTGCCCTAGATTCATAGGGCAACTTAATTCCTTTCCTTTCTTCAAGTAGGATCTGACCGTGGCCTCCTGACCTCTGTCCAGGCAGCCTCCTCCCTCTCTCAGCACTTTCCCACACCTTCAGCTGATTCCAGCTCTGATAGTTCTTCACTGGGATACCACTAACCACCCTSAAGTCTAGCTGCATTCTCCTGTGTTTGCTGGCTTCCCCTGTACTTCCTGTATTGAAGCCCCATCACATGCATCTTACTTACTTGGCAGTAAAGGCAGGAAGAGGAGAAACAAGATCTGTGTGGACCACCCACTGGCAGYCAGAGCTTGGTGTATAATAAGGTGTCCAGGGCCAAGCACTTCAATCTAAATTTTTTTTTTTAAATCAAACTAACAATGTACAGAATGGAGAAAACTATACAGGCAACACACTTCTCAGAATTCATCCCTAAGTTTCATTGTTCATTTAGCTATTATACTATTTTATTTGACTAATTACAAAGAAGCAAATTTTTTGATATATAGAGAGAGCTTTTGAAAAATAAAAATTGCCCAAAAAAGGAAACCTTAGAAGTCGGTGAATTCCCTTGTCAGTGGGCTCTAAATGAAAAGGTATTTCTCAGAACTTTGCATTTTTAAAACCCCATTCTTTAATGAATAGGTGGGCTAGATAATTTCTAAAYTCACATAGAAATCTAAGCACTGATATAAAATATGCATGAGAGCTGAGTCATTTCCTTCCCCTCCTTAACTCCACACTCACTGTATTTGAACTTCAAGAATTCATCCTTATTTTTCATCATTTGTAGCTTTATATGTTCTTTAAAAATTAACTCTAACATATAACTATTTTAAATGACTAAATGATACAAATATATACTGTATTTCTTTAGAAAAATGAGCAGGCGGAATTGCTGGATTTGTAAGATGTGCAGCAATGAGTCCAAGAGACTCCCTTCAAAGTAAGTAGCATTTAAATTCTATGGCCATTAAGGTATTTTTGTCACATGATAAGTAGGTGTGTATTTATTTAACTGCTCTCAATATATTTTGCTCAGAAAGTAAAATTTGCATTTATACATGAGTAATTTCACCAGAAGAGCAATCATGTGTTACACTAAGACTCCGTTTTCATTATTCATGGTTTACACTTGAGAATTCAGCAAGTTAAATATTTTTAGCATCCATTATGAGGTTTTTAAAGTTYGAGATTTTTCGATCCAAAATATTTTCAGAGTTCAAACCCTTCATCTGTGAAGTGCCAGAAACCTTCACTCCTGCTGGGAATGGTGGCACACACCTGGGAKGCTGAGGCAGGAGGATCACAAGTTCAAAGCCAGTCTCAGCAATTTAGTGAGGCCCTAAGCAACTTAGCCAGACCCAGTCTCTAAATAAAAATATAAAAAAAGGGCTGAAGATGTGGCTCTGTGGTGAAGTGCTCCTGGGTTTAATCCTCTGTACCAAAGGAAAAAAGTTCATTCCTAGATGGGATTTATGAGACTGGAAGGGTAATGAAATGCTTACCAAGTTCTCAATCTCTTTAAGTTTTGCCATAACTAAAAAATGTAGCCATTTGGAGGAGAACAGTGACTGGATTAAAATAAGAAGAAAGAAGAATACCTGAGAAATGTGAGAAGCCTTTCAGTTGGATGTACTCACCGCAAAGACTTCCCAGGTTGGAGGTCCTTCTGAGGTTCACGATGAGTGCCTAGCCCAGTCCAGGTAGAGACCTCACCTCTGGGCTCATCTCCCTGTAGGGTCACAGCTCCTGGCCTACATGCACCTCTGCTGAAGTACGGAAAGTCCTAAAACACTCTCAAGCCACTGTGTCTTTAGGAGGAGGCTCAACGGGAAAACCCAAAGCTCAGCAATTTAAACCTGTTGAGGCTGCTGACCTACACAGATGCATCCAAGGAGAAAAGATGTTAATAGGCAATTGAGAACAGCTGTCTGTTCCTCTCCTGGTGATTCCAATGGACTATCACCATCAGAGCTTGCATTTCTTGCTACCTGCCTTGCAGACCCACAATGAGGGAAGGGGAAAGTCAAAAACAAGAAAATTCATGTTTACAGAAGGCCGTGCTTGATGACAGTCACTTGATAAGTGCTTTGCATTTACCACCTCATTTATTTTTCATGGTAACTATGATAGACATTATTATCCATTCTCTAGATAATGAAACTGGGGTTTAGAGATTTTTAAATACAGGAAGTCCAGAAACTATTAAGGACAGCACTGGGATTAGAACCTAGAGTTATCAGCCTCTGAACACTCTTCATTCCTCTGTCCATGATGTCATGACATCTCAAAATATTCCATGTGCGATTGCCATACACTGCCTATCTTCCCAGAAGAAAGAAGGGGATGCAAAACTGGAGAACTTATATCAGGCAACTCAGGCAGGTGAGGGGACAAAGGTGTTTACTATAATTCTGATGAGACCAATGAAATATTCCTGGGCCAGCGTGAAACTTGTGAAATAGAAATAAACATGACAAACAAAAATGATATTCAAACAGAAAGAGATTTCACAACTCTACCTTCAAGCATAATTACTCTAACCATAATCTGTCTCTATAAATCTCATGACTCTTAGAGTCAAAGGAATTCTCTTACCAACAATTTCCAACTCCTAATCTTACACTGACCCAACACAGTGATCCTATCTTCCCTCAGGTTGTAGATTTTATTCTTTCCTACATAATGGGAATGAGTGGGACAGATAGGCATGCAATACACCTTATCTAGCACTTTCCATTTCCCTGGATTGAGAAGGTTATTTTAGGTTACTCTTTCCAAAGTTCTAATAAGAGAAAAGAACAATGAGTCAGGTAGAATTTCATGGAAAAAAAATTTTTGAAAGCAATCCTAACACAGTACACTGTTAAGCTTCAGTACTGATACAAACAGTCCATCCAAAATTGACAGGATCCATCTGAATTTTTAGAAAACAAAAATATATTTGACCTTTTTAGGGCTCTAAACCTGTTTCCATGTTCTCAGCAATTTTTTTTTAACCTCTGTAATTAATCTTCCTTCTTTGCGTTAAGAACCTGCTAATACTGAYAGCTCTTCTTGCAGCGCTAATTTTGGGGCTAACAGCCCCCAACAGTACAGCCAATGAACAGATCTTGCTTCCATCTATAGTCATCTTTGATTATATCTAGTTGTTGGGAGCAGGAAAATCAAGAATGTACCACAAATCCAATGATAATGAACACATTAACTATTTTTTTTTTTTTGGTTTGCTTTTCCTTTATTGCCTTTTTTTTTTTATTGGTCGTTCATAACATTACATAGTTCTTAATACATCATATTACACGGTTTGATTCACGTGGATTATGAACTCCCCCTTTTACCCCGTATACAAATTGCTGTATCACATCAGTTTCCCTTCCATTGATTGACATATTGCCTTTCTAGTGTCTGATGTATTCTGATGTCTGTCCTATTCTCTACTATCCCCCCTCCCAACTATTTTAAAGAAGGATAATTTAAAAATCAGCATATGACTATGTAGTCTCTTGCCAGTTCACTTCAGGAAGCTCCCCAACAAGAACAGAAGAGATGCCCTAGAATTAGCGTCTTTCACAGATATTTTCTAAATGACAAATGGCTTTGTTTATACTGTTTAAGTCAAATGTCACTCGACATATTGTAATTAATATTAAACCTTCAAACTCCCCCCCCAAAAAATCAGCAAAAAAGAGACTGAGAAAATAATAGGTACAGAATTACTAATTTTATTATGAAAGTACATGCACATAGGTTTTGTGGGTGAACTCTTAAGATTCTAATAGACACAATGGATAAGCATGTTGCTGATGGCAGAAATATACAGTCCACAACCCTGTGAAAGCAACTTGGCAGTTTGTACCAAGAACCTTAAAACTACATCTTTTTTTTTTTACCCACTAATCTCTTTAAGAAATTACCTATCTTATGGGGCACAGCAAGCCTTATCCACAGTTGGGGCTACTTTGGGRAATAGAAAGATTGTATCACTATGATTCTTTATCTTTTTAATACTTATTTCCTTATATTTTCAAAAATATCCTGCTTTTTATGAGTTTTATTATAAAAATAAAATGTAAGTAGATACATTTCCATACAACACCACACACAAATGGAGTGTAATTATATTTCAGGGTTTTTTGAGGTAATATAATTATATTTAATTCAGCAAAAACCTCAAAAACATTTTAACCCAATCAGCATCTTTTTTTTTTTCCTTTTCAAAGCCTTACTCTGGAAGAAGTATTACAGTGGGCCCAATCTTTTGAAAATTTGATGGCTACCAAATGTGAGTATTATGCATATCTAATCTTTGAATAACCAGCCAGTGTCATTCTTAGGCAAAGAAGAGGGAATCTAGTTGATGAATATATGTTGTTCTGCTCAATGGCAACTGACATCGTTATAAAAAGAAAACCTGAAAATAGTTTGTCGTGTCAACTATGGTTATTTTTCTCTAGTGTTAATTAAAACAAGATTAGTCACTGCAGATATTTATTCTTCACAAGTATATGTATAAAATCCCTTGGCAAATATGCTGAAATAGTAACACATACTGAAATATGCTGCCTTGCCATAGCCTTCCAAAGTTAGCATTAAAAAAAAAAAAAGTCTGCTTTGCTGTTCCAAGCACTTTCAAAAGTAAGAGTGAAGTTGAATCTTGATGTTCTGAAACTCCTCAAAGTTTATCAGAGTCTGATTTAAGTGGGCTTAGATGTGGATTGGTGTAGAGTTGTATGTTAGTATCAACATGATATAAAGCAGAGAGAATAGTAGTGGATAAGAAGAGATAAATTCAGAGGTTCAAGGAAGGAAATATGAAGAATGATGTACACTCAAGAGAACTGCCAACTGTACTTGGGATAAGAAACTGGCAACAGGGTGTGGTAGCACCTGCCTGTAATCCCAATGGCTTGGGAGGCTAAGGCAGGAGGATAGCAAGTTCAAAGCCAGCCRTAGCAATTTAGCAGGCCCTAAGTAATACAAAAAGGGCTGGGCTGTAGTTCAGTGGTTAATCACCATGGGTTCAATCCCCAGTACCAGGAAGGAAGGAAAGAAGGAAGAAAGGAAGGAAGGAACGAACGAACGAACTGGAAGGTTGTAGAAAATGATAAAAACCAAAAGACAAAGTAGTGGGTACTCAGAAAATTTTTCATTGAATCAGTAATTTTTTGTTTTTGTTTTTGTTTTTAAATGGAGTTAGTGCCACTCAAATCTTTGTTAATTTTTACTATAGACCCATTTTTTTACTTAAGATCCCCTTTTGGGCTCTCTGTGAATGTGGACTCCATGGAGGGGGGCTAGGTGTGCTGCGTAGATGTTTTAATTGGTGCATTGCTGTGGTTATTCTGGACAGGAACCTCCTGTCGCTCCTGGGGCTGCCATGCTGACTCAGCCCTCTTTGGTATGGACACACTGTCACTATCTGGGCCAAAGGGTGGGAGATGGGGACCCTTGTCTACTCCTGCTAAAGACTCTACAACTTGCTGCATGGCCCCTGCCCTGCTACTAGAACCTGCACCCCAGCCTGGGGCACACCCTGAGCTCTGCTTCCCTACCAGGCCTTTCCAGTGAACACTGGGAGCCATGGTTTCTCTTTCAAACTACCTCTTTCACTTTTAAGGTGTTCCTCAAGGTTTTGTGATCCAATTCAGGAGCCTGACTGTGAATTTTAAACAATATCTTTTGGGTACCTTTGACAGCATTTAAATGGGAAGAAAAGACAAAAATGTTTTGTTTAGTCAACTCTGTTGATTCTTCTTCTGTTAATAGTTTGGATTTAGGTCCCAACATTCTATGATCCATGTTTGCAATTTCACCAGATTAATCTCATTTTTAGAGTTTCATACTCTCCCTCTATAAAACGGGAACACGGCCCGTGCATTCAGTATTATTGTTCATGTTGTATATAGTATCGTAGTTCTGAGCTCATAGGAATTGGTAGTTATATTTATTAGTAATAAGTGCACATCTCTGAACAGCAATCTTTGTTTCCTGATCCCTACCAAAACGTCCACAGATTTGGTACTCAGGGCTCCCTATGCCATAAACCCAGCACAGTTTCCCTCTCTATACCCTTTTGCACAACACAGCCTCCACTAATGCATCTGTTCCTCCATTTTCTATTTGTACATCTTTGACTCTCCTGCTCCAGACGTTTGCTCCAGGTCCTTTTGTCTCCTCTACCTACTGTGCCCTACCTTGAAAACAAGACTCAAGATCCATCTTTTCCATAAAACCTCTTAGAAATATTTTTCCTCCTTCTTCTATTTATTAGTATCACTATTCTTTTAATTGCAGCTTGTGTGTGTAATAGTTTTTTCCCACAGCAGCTTGCTCAGTAGTTTGTAAATTTCTTAAGAGCATATTGCCTCACATTTCACACCCTTGAGGAACTCAAAACATGCCCATGGCCATGCAATAAATGTTCAAGGAATAAATACAAGATAAATATTAGGAAGAAAAGACCAAGACAGTGAGCCTTATTATATAAATTTATGTGCCAATACTGGGGACCTAATAAACACAGAATATAGAGTTAATTATTTGGCAAGAATCTCAAGTGTGTGCTTGCCTTGCTAGAATTAGCAATTCAAAAATCTGGTGTCACAAGAATACAAAGTCCAAAGAAAAGATGAAAGCAAGAAGACATCCTACTGTTCTTTATAAAAAAACAAGCAAAAAATATGGTAAAAATCTTGTCAGAAATCAAATTAGTATGAAGTTTATATAAAAATATTTTTTAAAGTGATAAAACAAATCATTCTGTGGAGCAGTCTGACAGAAAAGAAAATTATGAATATAAATATTAGACTTTCCAGTGTATAAAAATGTGTTTACATTCACCAAGGACACTAGCAAAATTCATCCTTTAAGCTAAGATATGCAGATGACTATCTTTTACATAAATTAAAGCACTGATTCTAGAAACAACTAGTTCAGCAATTCACATGGGGAGAAAACATATTAGGCTAGGTCTCAAGAGATGAGCAGATATTGGTTTAGAAGATGTTTGTTGGGGAGCCATTAAGTATAAATACATAGTCAAGACAATACAATTAGATTCAAATAATTCCATAAAAATACCTTTATGGAAAAAGGGATCTTTAAAAAAWAAACCTCCTCAATTTGAGCATATAGACCTATGGCAAAATTGAGACATTAGTTAAAAATTAAGAATGTTAGATCTGGGGCCAGTGGTACACACTTGTAATCCCAGCAACTTGAGAGGCTGAGGCAGGATGAGCACAAATTGAGGCCAGCCTCAGCAACTCAACAAGACCCCGACTCAAAATGTAAACAAAAGGAACTGGGGATGTCCTTCAGTAATAAAGTACCCCTAGGTTCAATCCCTAGTCCAAAAATAGAATGTTGGTAACCTAGACACATTCTAGATGTTATCTAATGTTACATTGTTGACAGACAAGTTTTGTAAAATGCCGAAGACATTTTTTACAAATAGTGTGGGCCTCTATTCAAAATTCATTCAATAAATATGTATTGAGCACTTCTTAGTATCAGGAAGAGTGCCTGGAAAAAAATCCCACATGCCCATGTGACACATAAAATACCAAGGTGGGGGTGGCAGGGAGTTCCAAAAACAGAAAATCCCCTAGAAAAGAAAAAGGAGGATTTCCATTTAAGGCACATTAGGGTAAAATTAAAAAACAGTAATTAAAGCAATTTTTTTGTAGCACTCTGAATAGAATTCCAAAGGCAAGACAAACGCATACTTTAAAAAAATAATAGCCTTTGAAAAAAAATTCAGCTAAGCGTACATTAGGAGCTGATTGACAATATTTTAAAGATAAAAAAACTATTGTAGAAGTAAGTCCAGGAGATTTAAATGGTGTGTCTTTCAATGAAGACATGTAGTGTGAAGGATTCCTCAGAACTTCATGTGAAAACTAGCATCATTATAAAATCCTCCACAATGAATTAAGCAGGAAACACAAAAGTTCCCCCCAAATCTCCAAATGAACAAGTGATAGAAAGTTCTTCAAGTTTCCAAACATCTGAGTTTTTAGGAAATATTAAATTATTTTCAAATGGACATATAGATAGTGAGAAATTTTAAATGTTCCAGGTTAAGACTTTGTCATCTTTCCATGAAAATACCTGAGAGAATCACCTAAGAATTTTTCTTCAATGATGGTTTCCCAAACCATAGCACTGCAACCAAAACCATGGCAAAACATGAGGCATCACCAAGGTAAACACAAGAAACGAAATTCTGTGGGTTTTTCTGATGACTAAGACTTAACCAAGATACATTGGAACTAGAAAAGGTACAGAGAAGTGCCTTTGAGATGTCAGAGAACTAACAACCACCTAAATCCAGGGAGTCTTCAAAGTGGAAAGGTCAGGACAAAAAAAAAATCTATAATGCCAGAAAAATATCTAAAGTGCAGAAGGTACATACTTATATGTATGAATGAATTCTCAAAAGATGAGAACAGCGTTGCTCACTGATGTTTGTGTCAATTACATTTCATACAACTAAAAAAGATGTTTAGTTCCAAGTTGTTCCTTGGGTGAGTCACTCAATCCCAGAGTKTGTCTGGAAGAACATCCAAGACCTGGAGACATTGGGTCACTGCTCAGCCTGTGCTTCCTTTGAGGGGAGGACACAAACAAGCAAGCAATTAATGAATAACTAATTTCATAAAGTGGTCAGTGACTTGTTGAAAATGAAACCAAATGATATGACTAAAAAAAAAAAATCAGGTAGAAGGTCACAATTCCATTGATAGTTAAAGAACAACTGTGAGAAGGAGTAAAATGTGAGCAAAGAGCTGAGTGAGGAGACACAGCCACCCACGCTGCAGGCTGTGGTCAGAGTGGCTCAAGCAGAAAGCAACCACCTTTTAAAGGCCCCRGAGAAATGAGTGAGGTTAGTGTCTTCAAGTAACTGAAAGAAATTTGAAATGAGAGAAGCACAGGGCCTTACAAGTCACACAAAAGGCCTCAAACTAGAGTAACAAGGCTTAGTGTACCAGATACCCTGGTTCTCTTCTGATGAATAGAAACAGGGAGACGGGTTGCACAACTCTACAATATACCAGGTCAGATTAGAATCAGTGGAGAAGATAAGGCTGGGAGCAAGTAGCATGTGGCCAAGTAGCAAAAACCTCTCCAGGGTCTATGAGACTACTGGAGGGAGGGTTCAGATAGAGAACTAAGATCCAAGAAGAGGAGGGGGGTGGTGGAAGAGGATGGGAAAAGAGTCTCAGGTGAATTGAGAATGACCAAAGACAGTGTGTGATCAYGGAAGCCAAAGGAGATAGT